TAAGTAAAAAAAAAAACAAAACAAAACAAAACAAAACAAAACAAACAAAAAAAAGAAACAAAAACAAAAACAACAACAAAAAAAAACACCACTACCAAACAGATGCTACACTCACCTGGGTCATAGGAGTCCATAAATCCAAATGGACCATAATCTATTGTTATGGACAATAAACTGAAGTTATCTGTATTGCACACACCTACAGTTAAACAGAAAGGAGAAACAAAAGTTAAAACTCCACCTGAATCCCAGGCTCTAGGCAATTTGCTGTGGAACAGGTCCACTGAATTTAGAGAGCTCTCAAGAATCAGACTTTGGAAAACACACCCAGCCCATGTCCCGCAGCACACCCAGGCTCCCAATGCTGTTTTGGGGTTAATCCCACAAATCTGCAGCACAGCTGGACAGCTCCATGTCCTGTGCACTGTAACAGGCCAGGGCTTTATGTGGATGGATCAAATTCAGAGCAGTTAAACTTACACATGGCATCAGTACCCTGACTTTGTACACTGCACTGCTGCAGCAGCTCTGAGAACTCTTGCTGCCCTATTCTCATCCTGTCGCAGTGGTGCTCTGAGAGATCACACAGTGTAACTCTGTTACAAAAGCCCCTTGTATAACAGATAAATCTGTAGCTGAAGACATCAGCAGAATGAAACACCAAGGTGACAAATAAAAGCCATTTTTAAGTACATTACTGTAAAGTGTCCCTCCCCTAAAGCCAGTGCCATCTGGCACCTTACCATGTGCAAACCCCACAGACATCCACAAGGAAATGAGATTTGCAGTCTCTGACACGACAGTAGAGAAAAATTCCTAAAATCAAAAACATCTTTTACTTCAAGTTCTCTCTATAAAAAATATTGAAATACATTAAGCATTTTATTCACTATAGAAATGTGTAATACATTCTATTTTTCAAATTTAGGTACGTGTCTGTCAGGCCTTGTTATTCCCATTCTACATTATGTGAATGCATAATAACCTTATCCCAGCAAACACTATTGTTAAATAAGTATACAGAGATGCCCTTAAAGAAATTAAGGAGTAAAATTTAAAAAAACAAACAAAAAACAAAGGCACTACATATACTAGGCAGTATACTAGAATATACTATATATACTACATACATATACTGCAAAAGCACACTTCATCACAACATGACCACTGTTCACTGACAACCTGAGCAGTAAAGGAACAAAATACAACAGAAAATGGAAGCTTCATGATAAACACTTCCAAAATGGAAACTGGTAAAAAATGTTCATATTTGACTTTGAGAAGACACAAAAAAAATCAAGAAGCAGATTTTTACTGCAGAGAATTAACAAACTTCTGTTAATAAAACCTGGAAGCTTACTTCAAATTTTTGTTCACATACTTATGGAAAATAAAAATTACTCTTCAGAAAGACTTACCAGGTATCTATTTGAATCATTCACAGCTATTGAAGGAAAATGTTCCTGGATGATAAAGTCTAGCAATTTTCTGTAACAGCAGAAACCGAATTATTTTAAACCGGTACTTATGGAGATAATTAAACATTCTTGTTTTCAAACTGCAAAATGCTGATCTACAGCTTGCCACAAATAGTTATTAAAAAACTCAGCCCATTTATTCCAATGAATATTAGAGTAAGCTCTTCCAAAATGTTTAGAGATAAAACCTAAGGTTGTAGTCATAAATATGACTGGAGACTGCCACAAAGAGTTAAAATTATCTCCACATTAAATCTCCAGAGCACACCAGGACATGGCTCTGCATGCAGCAATATCCATTTTTTATGGAAAAAAAGAGTTTGTATTTCCAAAAAACAGTATAAGATTACAGGGAATAACCACTCTACATCAGAATTCTCACAAAGAAAATGTTAAAACTGAATTCTTATGGAGTAAGGTTACTTCTACAGTAACTGGCCATTCCCAAAACAGTTCCCCACATTCCTACGAGACAGGCTTAGGGAAATGGGATACATGCATTAAAATTTGCAGGACCTGTCACAGAAAACTGAGAAATGTAGGAACTTAGAATTTCAACTTACAAATCTTTCCAAAACAAACAACTCCTCCCTAGTGCTTAGTTACCAGAACTACTTAGGTATAAAATTTTCCTCATTTTGTAAGATCTAGGCCTTTAGAAACATCTCAAGGGCTTTACCCTTGTGAGGTAAGATCTTTGGTATGCTTGTATAAAAATAGCAAGTTACCTTTCTAAATTATGTAATCTTATTTGCTAAATAATTTATGTCTAAATTCCAACTGTATACATGAATTCTAATGTAATGTGATGGTTGAGAAAACTGTTTCAGTTACTGTGAAGATGCAATTCAAACCTCAGTAAGTCCAGTTCCCCAGAGTGAGCTAAGATTTCCAAGGATCCTATACGAAACCACGATTTGGCAAGTCGTAGCACTATTGCACCTTAAATATAAAGGGAAGTGTGTTTAAATGTAAATAGAGAACCAGCAAAATAAAACAGTTCCATAGGAAAAGCCACCATGTGTTGTTTCTATAGACACAGAGTTATATAGGCACAGTTAAAATGGTATTTTTGTAAGTATGCCTAACACATAAGAGATGAATATGTATAACATTATTTTACTACACATGCATTTTAATGATAAAGCTTGATTTGCTATACTAGCAACCACAGGCAAAATTCTGTTAGTGCATTAATACTAGAATCACTCCAGAAATGCCAGCCTCAAAGAAAGAGCACAAACAGATTTTTCCCCATTCTGTGCCATCTCTCTCTTTTTCAGAGCAGGTGTAGATGATGTCACAATGACATGGCCACAGTTGCATTCTACCCATCCTGGTATTGATACCAAAACAATGGAAAAGTTCCCTAGTTTTCAATAGCATTTTTGTAATGGGAAATGAAAATCAAAATAATATTCTTTCAATATGTATGCTACAATTATAGAAGACCTATTCAGAGGGCTTTATTTCTTCAAGCAAGATATGTTTCAGATTGATTTTCTCAGGGGAGGTTTCATATCTTAATAAATTAAATTAAGCCCATTTATTACTTTTTATTACACATTTTTTCATGGTGAATTAAGTTACATTGTAACATTTTAAAATATGTTAATTACCTCTTTCTTTCTTAATATTTCCATTGTAAAACTGATCTCTCCACACATCATCATCACTTACAACTAAGCTGTAGCAAACAAGAAATGAATGTTAAAAGTTACCTCAGCAAAAGTAATTAATAATGAAGATCAAAGTGATATTTTATATAAATTCATCTTCTTCATAAGAAGAAAGATTGTTTTTACAAATGACTGTTTTTACAAATGATTGTATTTACAAATGACACAGGCAAAGAAGATGCTGAGGCTTAACAAGGTTCATGACCAAAATGCATTTATTTTGTATTTAATATAGTGTTGTCCAATTTCATTATCCTCACTGTTCTTGGGGAGATGTCTGCTCTCAAAAAGAGCAGTGCATTCACTTGGAACCTCAGTGACAGATTAGTGTGATTGTAACATCAACTAAGTCCCAGTTTCCCTGGGGACAACATGGAAATTTTGAGGAGAGAGAAATTAGAAACCAAAGTGTTGCATCAGATGCAGGCTTCCCTTTACATGTCAGAAACTTCATCTCTTTATATGTCAGAAACTTCAGGGATAGCTCTTTGGTCCTTAGCAATCACTGCTACTGGTACTTGGATTTTTAAAACCAATCTCTTCCTTTCATTTGCCTTAAAATTCTATACATCCTATAAATGTTCATGTTTATCCACATATTGAGGTTTGTGAGAGTTCAGTACAACTTGCTTTAAAATATTTCACAACTTGCATTAATTTGTTTAAATAAAATATGTAATTTCCTTGTATTTTTTGTTGTATCAGGAAAAATCAATCCTCACAAACAAGGGCATCATGTTCCTCTAAGGTTAACAAGTAGGAAGTTTTCTCTCCAAAGCAATGGGGATTACACTGACAATCCAGCTTCGTGCCATATTCTGAAAGAGATCTTATCCCCTTAATAGGCACAGAAGATTCCTTATTCAAGACTCCAGCAGGAAGCTAATTTAGCTCATTTTGTGCAATTCTTCTTTATCTTTGCTTGTTGATAATTGGAAAATATTCTTCTACTCAGGAGAGACATAGACCTATTGGAGTGGGTCCAGAAATTACCAGAGAGCTGGAGCACCTCTCCTATGACTGAGAGCTGGGGCTGTTTGTGGGGAATAAGGGGAGACCTTACAGCACCTTCCAGTCCCCAAAGACAGCTGGACAGGTACCCTTCACCAGGGCCTCTAGCAATAGGACAAGGAGGAATGGCTGTAAACTGAAAGAGGGCAGATTTAGCTCAGGTATTAGGAAGAAGTTTTTTACTCAGAGGGTGGTGAGACACTGATCAGGTTGCCCCAGAAAGGCAGTAGATGCTCCATCCATGGAAATATTCAGGGTCAGGTTGGAGGGCGCTTTGAACAACCTGATCTAGTGATGTCCCTGCTCATTGAAGGGGGAATTTGACTAGACCAGTAAAAGTCTCTTCCAACCCAAATTACGATTTCATGATGCAAAATGTAGTTGGGTGGCATGCTATTTGATATTTAATGCAGTTATTTATATCTGCTACTAGGTGGTTGAAAACAGCAGAGAAGACAGACCCAGATTTTTCTTTGAGATACACAGCAAAGAACAAGAGACAAACCTATTGTTCCATTCATAAATATGACTGAAGACAGTCACAGTGTTAATTCTCAAGAGTTTAATTTTGGAAGTACAATAGATTCTGGTTTTACATACTTGAGCATTGAGATTTTAGAAAGAATGCAGTTGAACCAAAAATGTGGGAAATCCATATAAACATTAATATGTACAAAAAGGTTATGAAAAGAAATAGCATTAAGTCTTACCTAGTGCAGTTGCTTGCAACAGTAACTGTGGGTTTGAAACTAAATTATTATTATTGTATTCAGTATTTTTGAAGATACCTAGTAGCTATTCAAACTGAATGTTCGGTTAACTGCAAAGAACAGGCAGTGACTTGTTCCAAGAGAGGAAAAATATACAGAAATCAATCTGCTCCTTTTATTGTAGATGTACTGATACAAGTAGAATTAGGGTGGGTTTTTTTCTTAAATACTCATTTGAAACCAGTTGGTATGTCTGTAGGATTAAGTACAAAAAGCTCTGATGTAAATGAGATGGAAGAAGAAAATCTTAATCCTTCAAGAGAAAACAAAAAAAAATTAGAAACAGAGATGGAACCTCAGACACCTACAAAATAGTGTGTGCAGCAGAACACTAGGGACAGAAGGCACAAAAGTTGTGCAACTGAACTTTACTTTTGTACAGACCGCTGCAAGAAAGGGTGTTTCCTTTTTACTGTGTAACTCTTGGCAGGCTCTCTGCAAAATTCCTACAGAATATCAACACTTCTATTGCAGATAAAAAATCCATGGAGGCATTGACATTTAGTTAGTATGGATGTGCAACATTTGAGTGCTGGCCAGGTAGCTGAGCAGCCACATAAACACACATTCCCACTAGAAAAGTACTTCTCCAATGGTCCCTGTAGTTGGTAAGTGCCATTACTGGAGAAAAGGCAGCAGCAGACCAGCTGTACACAGAATATAGGAAACAGAGCACCGAAATTGCACCCACACCAAAGAAGCTGGAACAGCACTCACAGAAGGATGGATGGATGGATGGATGGATGGGTGGGTGGATGGATGGATGGATGGATGGATGGATGGATGGATGGATGGATGGATGGATGGATGATATCCCTCCCTACCTGGCTCTCACTTAAAGAGCTTGACTTTACACTTCCAGTGCTCTGCCTGCTGTTCTGCATGAACAATAAACGCTATGCAAGTAAAGCCACTCAGAAAACTATGCATATTGGCTCACTCTTTTGACTTCATGTGTAACACTGCTCACTGGTAGCCTCAGTATGTGAGTAAAATGGTACTGTATGAAGTGTTCTGTATCTGACAGTACAGTCATAAACTGTAACACCCCGTTGGGAACACAGTACTTAAAATTAATAGAGCAAACCAACCTGCTGGGTGTTCTGGGATAAGCCATACGGTTTTTCCTCCCACTTCTGACAAGACTTGACAAGACCTCTGTTAAGTGCATCCCACCAGCCTCAGTGCAACAGCTCCCCATCGGGAAGAATATGGCTGTCAGCTGGGGTTTTTCCAAATTAAGTCTTGTGAACACTCTGCAGACCTCGTACAACAGTTAAGAGAGCCAGGCATTTAACCAATCTGCCAGCAGAGAGCTAAAGCACACTGTGTGCTCAGTAGAATTTTGTGCACAGTAAAGGGGTAATTTCATACTGTTTTGCAATGAACAATTTGTTGAGACGACGGCAAAGAGAGGCTCTAACCTGCCAAATTATTTCCTGCTGATATTCAGACAGATTTAAAGTTCTGCATTAACAGCCAACAGCAAAGAGTCTCAAGATGAAGTCAGTGAATAAACCATCAAAAATGTCGTTTACAAACACTGCACTTCAACAGAGCAAATGAGTTAGAACTAATGCTAAAGAGATTTGCAGACACTTTGCAAATACAGACACCTAGCCATGTGGCAGCTGAGTACAGGCCTTTTCTGCAGAACATTTGCTTTCTTTAAAGCCTGAAACACTGCAGTATAGACTTGAGACTACTTGGAACAACACAAAATGAACTTGGCATTTTAAACATGATCATTTGAAAATATTCAATTACTTGATTCTGAGAAAATCATCCAAATGAATGTGTTAGTCTCCTTTGCTTCACACAGAATTAGTTTCAAATTTTTTTTATGAACTCTTTCTCTCTCTGCTCAAGAGGTGTTTGCATAGATAAAGAATGGAGAGTGATTGCCTACTTCAGTTCTACCTCCAAGATTAATGTTTATTTATATGAATGACAATTTTTCCCAGCAATCTTAAAAAAATTCAGTAAAAAAATAGCCACTTTTGACATTTTCCTAGTTGTCTAGATTCTAGGATTTGAATTCACTTTACAGAAATGAGTCTTTACTACACTAAAGTTAAGTTGTATTTCTAGATTCCAGCAAACTATGTGATGCAATTAACTGTTGGAGTTTATTATTGGAAAGTTTGATCCAAAAATCTGTGGAGAATATATTTTGTTCTGATTTCATACATATTAATAGATCTTTCATCTTGGAAACTAACTGCCCTACTTTATTGATGTTCAGTGAAACTCAGTCACAGAATTACCTGTAAATAAGTATACTGTGAACAAAGTTTAAAAAAATACCTAGCAGCTCTGCTTGTAGGAATTCCAAGATAGTGCATGGCCTCACTACATAGAAACTCTCGAACAGAAGAGCGAAGCACAGCTCTCCCATCACCATTCCTATGGAGAACAGAGAAATAAGGAATTGGTCATAAAATCAAAGCAAATTTCAAATAGAAAACATTCTGCTTTAGAGTACATAGAGTAACCGCAACTTACCTGGAGTATGGAGTCTTTCCTGACCCTTTTAACTGCAGCTCCCACCTCTCACCATGCCTGCAAAAATACCATTGGCATTTGTAATGACAGACCTCAGGTTAACCATGAATCTGCTAAACTGAACACAGAGTTCAATCAGATACTTAAAAAAAAGTCACACCTGTTTGTATATACTCCGATCAAATGGGCTCTTCCATCTCCCAGCTGACCTGCCCAGCTACCAAACTGACAAAAATTAAAATCAAGTTATTGTCCTCTATCATTTATAGAAGTTATACTTGAAACAATACAGATTAAATCTAGGTCCTCACAAAAGACACATTTGCTCACATTAAAATGTTGAACCCTAAAGCTGTATTTCCACATTCACTCCACAAATGAATCAGAAAACCACAGGAAAAGACTAACACCAGTAATTATCTTTTTTTTTTTTTTACCTTCCAGCTATGACATACAGCTACAGACCTGTCCTTTTTGTATAATGAGCCTTTAAACCCACATGGCTTGTTTTGGTTTTTTAAATTGGAAATTACAAATAAAATTCTAGCATTCTTCTCCATGAATAATCATATCCATTTCAATGAAACCTGAACCTTAGTAATCATGGTGTTGCAGTGAAGCTCTGTCCTTCTCCACTCCTCTGAGCTATTAGTATTAGATACTAATAATTGGCCAGGCTGCTGGGTGCTAAGCAGACTCAGCAGCTAATGAAAGTTAAAAACATAATTTGCTTCAGGCATAAACAAAAGCAGAACATGTAAACAGGGTACTGTGGAAGGATATTATAGTTCTTTTCCACCCGCAACCCGTTATGAAGAACAAGTCTGCAAACAAACTGTTAGTAAGCATTCATGTACTCACAGACATATGTACTTACAGGTATTATCCAGGTGTAATTCACAAGGAAAGACCTACACAATTATACCTGGAAGAATGAGTGCCATACTTACCTGGTGACCCCCATACCTATGGGCCAGTGGAACAGACCCAAATATCACTTTCCCACCACTGACGAACTCCAGAAAATCAGATGATCCTTTGACAGATATATCAAGATCCAAAATACTTTCAAGAACTTCCTGGAGAAAAAAGTAATACTTGAACATGATCAAATTTTCAGTGGTAATGCACATGTTTTCTCTACAGATTCCATCATTAAAAGACATCTCAAAATATGTTTTAAATGCTCTGTTTGTTTAAAGTATTTTTTGAGAAGATGTTTCATGATAAATAGCATGTTAATATTAAAATATACTTCAGTATATGTATTAATAATTTCAACTAATTAGAGAGGAATAAAAAACAATAACCAACCTTTGAAACAGCTACAAGACGAACTCTAGATTTAAAAGGTGTAGGGTAGACAACCGAAAAAATGCAGTTTCTCACGTTACGGACATAATTTTCTTGGATCACATCAACTGGAAAAGGATCTGTAAACATGAAACAGACAAGATATGCCACATAAAAAACAATGAATCATATTAGTCTTGATATGTTTCCTCCTAAATCCAGCCAAAATGTTTTAAAAACAATTAAAACTTGTAATATTACAACTTTACCAATGTATATTAAGCCTTCATGAAAAGCAAGCCCAAATAAATTTAGTATTTTATTGTTTGGAATTTCTGAAAATTTCTTAATTCCGCAGTTAAAGAATCTACCACAGCTTTCTAGTTTTAAAATCTAAATCATATTTAACAATAGATTGAATAGACTGTGACTGGAACAGTCTCAGGGCAGTTTGATGTTGCACTCAATTATATACACCATAAAAGATATCTTCAGGAGACAGAGAAGTTCAGCTTTTCCCACAGCTGAACAATGTAGTGCAACAAATTTAAGTCACTGTGCACCAGTAACTGCTGTGTACAGTCCATATGCAGCAATGATCACCACACAACCCAAGAGAACAGATGAAGTCTTTTCTGAGTAATGTAAACAGTGAATGAATGGGTTAGAAGATGTAGCTCTTGCTGTAGCATACATGTGTACTCAGAAGTTGCACTTCATTCTTCCTTCACACCTACTCTGTGCCCTTTCCCATGGTAACAGAGGACAAATATTGTTTTAAAATGGTGTGTTTTACCATCTTTATGGACTTTTGCTTGCAAGAATCGTACAATTCCACATTAATTATAAAATCCCAGTAACTCATAGTCAGTTTTGTAAATATTTTAAGTTAGCATCTCTGGAGCCTTGCTGCTAGCCATGTTTCTCACTACCTCTAATGGCAGATCCTGTTCTAGCCAGCTGCCACAAGATTTATCAGTATTATTTCTTAATGCTCACAAGCAATATTATCACCTGATGAAATTAGTTCTGTAATGTTATCATATCAATTAGCACTATGATTACAAGCAGTTTTGTATACCCTAGAGCTAGGAGAGATAGAATGTTTTGTGTACTTCCAGAGATGTGTCAGGTTATTGACTCTGCACTAACACTGGGACTCGGGGAAAAAAAACAAAAAACAAAAAACCAAACCAACAAACAAAAAAAAAAACCACACCAAAAAACCCGCTCCTTTTGACCAATCTAGTTTTAATTTTAAAGCTCTATTTGACTGTGTGTACCAGGTTCTGCTTAGTTACTGCTTTAGGAGCTGCCACAAACCAACAAACAAAAGCACCGGGACAGGACAGGAATACAGAGCCTGGGACAGGACAGGTGTACAGAGCCTGGGACAGGGCAGGACAGGAATACAGAGCCTGGGACAGAGCAGGTGTACAGAGCCTGGGACAGGGCAGGACAGCAGTACAGAGCCTGGGACAGAGCAGGTGTACAGAGCCTGGGACAGGGCAGGACAGGAATACAGAGCCTGGGACAGGACAGGTGTACAGAGCCCGGGCCGGACAGCAGTACAGAGCCCGGGCCAGGGCAGGACAGCAGTACAGAGCCCGGGCCAGGGCAGGACAGCAGTACAGAGCCCGGGCCAGGGCAGGACA